GACAATTTAAGTACAGCGCCTATACAAGTATTTACCCCATTGGTTTTTTTTTCCAAATCATATTACTTTTTTTTTTTTTTTTTTGCTTTGGTTTTAGTGGCATTTTGTTCAAATAAAAATCGGCAAAAAACTAATTTCTATAAGACAAATATGTGAATGCAGTGATTGCGTCTCCAGTGATTGTATTATGAAGTCGTGTCTATGGAAAGTCCATTCACTGCATATCCAGTTTTTCAGCATGAAGACACAGAAAGAAAGCACTTCCAGCAAATCAGAGGAAATATTATTTCCATTGAAAAGTAGAATTTAGGAAAAAAACCTAACATGTGGTTATTGATTTTTCAAACTCTGGTGGTGCTGATTCCATCCATCCAATCCGTCCAAGATGGCAGATCACGACCAAAGCATCCTATGGTGTTTTAATGGGCAGCTGATCGTATTCCTCCCTCATCCAATGACAGCTGTGTTTGATTTGTTGTATTTATGTTGACCTCTTCTAATGGCAGTGACTGAATGGTTCAGCATGGGTCCAGCACACCACAGGCTACACAATAAAGTATGTTTGCTTCCACCACCCACTTCCCCCCATCCCTCAGTCGCACCGGCATCCTTGAGTGTGAGATTTAATATCAGTTTTTCAATTTTCTTATTGAGCCTAATCCGGTCAAGTTCAAACCTGTTGGTTTAAAACAAACGGCGACAGCAGGACTGGCATGTCAGCTTGCGTCCTCGTCTGCTCCCGCTGCAGTGTGGACGCAGCGCTTTGGTCTGGCTGGGTCTGACTCTGCATACACGCAGAATCGGCTCGGAAATATTCATTGAAATAAAAACGTGAAATTTAGCTTGTTTCCTGAAAATGAGCGTTTATTTACGTGCAGTCAACAGGAAGTGATTCTTAAGCAAACTGTAACCAGTTCAACCCTAAAACCGGCAGCTGTGGCTTGCAGATCAACACCTCGGATTTGGGCTGTTTAATGGGGCAATGCCACCAGGTTTTTGCTAATTGTTGCAGCTACTAGTCTGAAGGAACTGGGTTTTTTTTCACATGTCGGGGAAAAAAAGAGAAAAAAGACACTTTTTGCATGTAACTGTTGACATTTTGACATTACTTGTGATGAGCCAAAAGTCTTTTAGATTTTACAGCCATCTTGCCATCACCCTAACATTTAGATGAATCCACATTTTCAACTTTGGACTCCTGTGGGGCCTCACCAACATCTTAATGTGTCCTTTGAATTTGTGTATTGTGTTAGTTTGGTATTTGTCACTCTTTACTTTCAAGATGCAGTTCATTCCATAAGTCTAAATGCAGTAAACGAACAAAGTAAACTGATGCTAATTTGGTTTATAGACCAAATGCTACATCTGTTTGCACCTCATGGAAAAAACTCACAAAATGCTAACATTAATTAATTCCCTCCAGAAAGATTTTCAGTACACTTTTGATGTTATTTATTTTTTGGGTGGCGTCTTAACAGCGGCTCCTATAATTGCTATGGTGAAGCTGGCTGTGGTTCTGCAGCGTGAGGTGGGCTGGAAGGTGAGAGATGAACAGCGAAGGTGTGATTTCATGTGTTCTTCTTCCGTCTCTCTCTGATCCTCCATTTCTAGCCAGACGGGTCGGGTTGCACTGCTTTCTCGCTCTGAACATCTTGATTGAAGATCTCTGAGCAGCATTGATTTGTGCCTGTTGAGAGATTGCTGTTTCGAGACTTTGCCACAAAAGTCAGAAAAGTTAATTTTGTCCATGTTGCCGCAACATAAATTTACGGTGTCGTAAAAATCCTAATGAGCTCATGTTGACAGCACTGTTAGGCAGGAACCACTTTTAATTTAAGCCTTCACAGGCCTTCTCATGTTTTAATCAGTCACCACTCACTGGTAGATGTGGTTGCTTGTATAATATATATAGTTACAGTGAACCCTTGAACATTTACGGGGGGGTGAATGTTCAACGTGTGCAAGATGTTCAAAAATTGTTCACATTTTTAGACTGTACAATCTCAAATTGGTACATTCGACTTCCAAATGTGTTTGTGGAACTACCCATGTCTAAAACCTCAAGCCTTTCGGGGTTACGTCTCGACCAGCTATGAACAAATGCTGGAAATTCTGCCTGTGCTTTATTGCAAACGGTTCGGTCAGACTGGATAGAGAAAACACAAGTCAAAGTTACAGTCAAAGACATAATTTAATAACACAGGTTCTGCCTCACGGAGCAGCCCTTGCCCACTCAGCTCCTTCAGACTAGCCAGCAGCAATTAGCAGACACCTGGCGAAACTGCGCCTCTGCTGAGGTAATTATAGGAGCTGCTTCTCAGTGCAGCGCTGGTGCAAAGTCGTTAAAGGATTAATAGAGGAGCCATGTTGTGGTGACTTCCTGAAGGCAGAGTTTCAAAAAGAGCAGGAGTTTTTAAAGAGACAGAGGCCCAATTTCAAGGCATTCAATTACAAAATCTCATTTCTTTTCAGTGTTGTCACATTTGATGTGTACAACATTTTTTTTATTACAACTGAAGATAACATAGTGCCATTTTATAGCACAATCAAGTAACTATGTACCTGGAAAACACATAGTACTGCCCTTTTAAGTGTAACAGTTTAAGCTACACTGCAATGAATAAATCAAAGCTGTTAAATGAGGTCAAAGAGCTTTTTCCCCTCCTTCAGCTCACTAGATGGGACACAGCAGGGCAGGCGTGCCTGAACATGTGCACATACATTAAAGACAGCGAAACAATACACCATTGAAACTTTAAAACGGACTGACATTTCCAAGCTTCACGTCCTTCAGCAGGTTTTTTTTTTTTTATTATTATTATTTTTGTTTTCCGTCTCCATAATTCAGCCTGCTTGCTCTAGAGTTTGTCCTCTGTGATTTAAAAGTGGCAAAATGGAAAATGGAAACTCCAGTTCCTGCTAGAATGGCTCCCCTTTTCCTGTCGACGCCCCTGTGTTTCCTGCCCGCCGCATAAGTAGGTGTTGCTGATTTGACGATTGGAGCGTCTGACAACTGCGGGACATTTTGGCCTGTTTGGGGTGGGAAGGGTGTTGGTCTCTCTGGGTCGTTTTCCCGCCGAGTCCTTCTTCCTCTGACTCTTATAATCTTCTTTATTTACCTGAACACAGGCTTCAGGTAAATGAAAGGCCTGCCTGAAACAAGTTGCACCTTTTGGCACAAATGCAATGTGTACTTACTATCTGTGTTCCTGCAGCCTTGTCATAGACGCATCCATTAGCGGTTATTAGCCGTAAATGCACTTCAATGCTCTCTGTGATGAGCCTCGAAACAAAAAGGCCCTTTTGTAGGAGGACTTCCAAACTTCCCGTGAGGGTAAATATTAGCTCTTTTGACTGCGTTTTCTGCATGGATGGAGCCCTGTGTCTGTGTTGTGTCCTGTAAACCACTTTATAAACTGAGCTCAACATGGGCTTGCCTGACTAAACCTCAGTAATACTGTAGCTTATTCAGGGATAAACTCTGACTTTCTCTCGCTGCAATACAAAAATCAGGTCTTTGTAAGTCTCTGAAGAAATGGGATTCAGTTTATTTGAAATAAAGTAGTTGGAACAGCTTTGAAGTGACTCGCTTGAGGCAGACTCAAAACATGAAAACCCGAGGGCGGAGAGAGCGAAAATGCGACATTGTAAGGGAAGTTTGAATCAAATGAGTTACTACATTCAGCCGGTGTTTGATTTACTCTGCGTCTCCGCTGACGTAGTGAAACACATCAGGCCACGCAGGTCTGCTGGTTCTGGTCTGCATCCCCAGAATCAAAACCAACCCAACCAAGCACAGGACCAACAAATACAGATGGATGTAATTGTGATACCAGTACAAAAAGTCCCAACCTTTATTATCCCCCACCATTAGGCATGGACGTTAAAGGCAGCTGGTCAACTCCAGAAACATAGTGAAATATAGTATCGTACCAAGTACCACGTCCAAGCAGTCATGATATATTGAGTAGCTTTAATAAGATGTAATGGACATTTTGAGGCTTTTAGTTTTCTACTTTGATTCCGCTTTCACTTCACTCGCTTATCGTCATGTTCAAAAGCTTATTAAGGTTCGGGCGACGGAGAACGCTGGCGTAACATCAGGTTCTCATCGACGGAAATAAAACACATCAAAAGTCCCTTTAATTAGATAATCAGAATCTTTTCTTTTCTGGGACCTCCTTGTAAAGCAGTAATCAAACACACACCACACGTTGGAATGAAGTGATTAAATAAGTTTATTTGATTTACAGACACTTTTTTGTTTTTTTCTTTTACAATGTTTTTCTTTTAAATCAACAAGTCCCCGAACACGCCCCGCTCCTGACGGCGGGAGCATCACAGTTCATTTTCTAAAGTCAAATCCTCTGGTTTCTCCGACACGTAGCTCTACGGACTAAAAACAAAAATAAAATCTGCTTTCTGCTCAAGATCAGAAATAAGTGGCTTTGTACAGAGAATTCTTGTATAACAAGAAACAGCACACACTTAATATATCACCTCGGTGATTATTAACGTAGCATAAGTCAATGCAACAGGCTATTTAAGCAGAAAGAGAAGAGATTAAAAACTCGGTTTTGGCAAAAGTGAAACTCGGTTCGTGAGCCGTCCGCTTGTCCGTAGTATGACGGCTCAAAAAGTTCAATAAATCAGCACTTACTGGGGATTTGGTGAGGAGGGGAGGCATAAAGCGACATACTTCTGCGACAGAGGCTGTGAAGACGATGCCAGGATGTTTTTGCAAATTATTCCCTGAACATTAAAGTGTGCAAAATGGTTCGATCGGTTATTCTAACAGAAAATGAAAGTAAAAAAAAAAACAAATAGCATGGCATTCTTCCATTGAGGTTGCTTTAAAAACCATCACATTGCATATTGTTCTGTTTATATATATATATATATATATATATATATATATATATATATATATATATATATATATATATATATATATATATATATATATATATATATATATATATATATATATATATATATATATATGTGAGATGTCTGGATAATGATCATAGTTAACAGCATGATTTCTTAGTGATGGGTAAAGGTATTGTGTTGATTAATAGTGATACATACAAGGTGAACTACTTGGCGTTTAAAAACCAAATGACATACAGACAAAAAAAAGTATTGTATATTCAAACCATAAAACTTCCCTTTATAGAATATTCTTCATTATGGTAACAAAACAAATAAATACATTGCATTCAAGCCATCATTTATACAATATATTAAAGTTACTGCAAGATATAGCTCTCTCTTCCTCTCTCTCTTTCTCTCTCTCTCTCTATATATATATATATATATATATTCATCTGTCATAGTTGTTAAAATAAAAAAAACATTTGGTAACATCAAAAAAAGACAAGAAAATGTAAAAACGTAAGGAGCTTAGTTCATTCAGGAGTTGATGTGTAAACACGGCTGGCCAGACACAATCACATTCAGAGAGCGCCATGCAGCTGGAGGGAAGCTAACGCTAACGATCCGGCCCGCATGCAGAGTCACCAGGCCCATCCTTTTCCCAGGTTCTCTTCGAGGTCGGGAAAGCGCTTTCTTTCCCTTTCAGTAAAGACGCGCTCAAAACTGGACGTATTCTAGGAGCGTTGGATCTATGTATATATATATATATATATATATAAAAGATATTTTCCTCACAGATGAAATTAAGGTCAGTTTAAGTCAGAGATGCCTGATGCTTGGATTCTCTTTGACTTCGATCACTAAGTAGCTGGTGACTGTGTCTCCAGCTTTGCGTTTTGTCCTGCAAATATGGGGTGGAGGGGATCAGATGTCTACAGCTGCATGGGGGGGAAAAAGGTCTCTCTTCACAGTGCCTGTCATTGTATTACCACCCAGAAACGGACTGCAACCCTTCATTAAAAAGAGACTCCGTCCATGTGTGGCCGGGTTTTTTTTGTGTCCAGAAACGCAAAACCAACCATCAGAAAGCCAGCAGTCTAAAGGGAAAGCAGCTCGCTGACAAGGCAGTGAGGAGGACAAAACGCTTGTTTTTTCTCCAACGAAGGAAAAGAAAATCTTTAACAAATTTACAAAGATTTTTTTTTTTTCCTGTTGCTCATCATATTTAAAGTCCAAGTCCATATACTGTACACATATATGGACTTGGACTTTTTTTTCCAAGTCCAGTAAGTAGCATTCCATTTCTCTTTTGGGAAAAGCAAGTGTAAGCATGTATGTAATAAATAACACAAACAAAACAAAAATCCAGTGTTCGCTTCAGATCACGCAAACAGCATCATGATCCTTCTGAAACAATCATTGGCAGCAACCTCCAGTATTAAACTTCAACATTACACACGCACACACATACACACACACACACACACACACACACGCACAAAACAAGAAAAAGTAATAATGTGCAGAAAGTTCTCACATCTGTCACGTTCTCTGGCACTGTCTACACTCGTTTTAAGTGCTAAAAGCTCAAAGGAAAACATGTATTAAAGGTCAAAGGTGGGGGGGAAAGCTCCTGTTCTTAAGGCTGATTTACTGACCTTCAAACAGTAACACTTTTTTTTGTTTTTTTTTCTTATTTTTGGCTCTTGGCTGACTGCTTTGTTTACATGCACAGTGTAGTCAGTTAGCGGAACGCTGCGGTTATGACGTGAACTGTGGTGTTAATACTGCGATCGATGTGTACGGGACAGCATGGGCGGAACAATTAGTGGGAAATTTGGATTTTGTGTGGGGGGGGAAAAGGTGTTGTGTGCATGTAAACGCAGTCAGAGAGGAGGTCGTGAGGGAGTGTGGGTGGTCAGTGCAAAGTTTATAGGAATGTAAATGAGGCTATGGCACTTGGTGCAGACGGGCAGCCGATGGTTCGATGCAGACAGAGAAATGAGAGGCGCGCTGGCGGCAGGCAGGCAGGTCGACAGGGCAGGTTCATGGTCAGCATTCAGTAGTATGGCATCAGAAAGTCAGAAGAGTTGCGTCGTCGCGGATCCTCGCAGACGTGGGACGAAAAAGCTACTTCCAAGCGACCCCGCCTCCCAACCGGGGGAAGTTCGAGGCAGAGCAAGACGCTCCCCTCGCCTTCCAGTTCCAAAGTCGAAAACCAAACGAGAGCAGCAGGAGGATTCTAACGGTGGTGACAAAAAATAGAAAATAAAAAAAAAAAAAGGACGGCAGGCACCCTTTATTTTGGCGTCCTCTAAACGTCTGTGCAGATAGGTCCTCGTCTGCTGATCACCTGGGGGAGGAGAGAGACAGGAGAAGGGTGTGAGCTCTTCCGAGTCGGGCCTCGCGGCAGGACACACTGGTGTAATTAATGCCGAGGTCAACAGTTCTGGGGCCATCTGGTCGGACTTTCCTGAAAGTGCCTGCAAACTGTGACCAGACCGTGGCCTAAATATACTCCTGCACTCAGCATACCGACTCGAAAACCTGAGCAGCACGAGCATTAAACCACAGCAACGAGGGACGGAGGTTATCGACTAACGAGCTAATCGACTTATTGAAACGAGTCCCAGTCCGGCCCTGTGTGCAACACACACAAACCTCGACTCTTGCACCGGTTAATTAGCCCCGACTGAGGAATTACTGGATATACAAAAGTACACAATATGTTATGAGTGAGAGCAGAGCCAAATAAATTTTGGGATGGAATATTTTCCGTCGTTAATGGCCTCAGCGATATCGTTTGGGAGCGAGGCTCTAAAACTGCCAGAGTGACGTTGAGACAATTAGAGCCACGAACGGCGCTTTGATTCGTGTGAAAAGCGGCCGTCCCGCTAATCGCTCCGCCGTGAATATGCCGGGGAAACGTTGGCTTCGTGAGCTAATGGAAGAAGGGGGCAGGGAGGGAAAGCTGATTGGCCTGACTGACCTACAAAGTCTAATCAAAGCAAAATGTTGCTTTTATGGCTGAGAGGATCCAAATCGTGGCTGGACGAACGGACAGAGAACGAGAGGCAGAAAGAAGCGAAATCATCTTAAATCCAAGATTCCATTTCACGTCCAGCTTTGCACTTTGTGTGTGTCTGCGTGCGTGCGTGTGTGTGTGTGGGAGTGCTGACAGGACTTGGAGCTTTTGTGAAATGATAAGAGTGCAAAGCAGGAAAGCATGCGCCTGCAGCTGTACAAACACTATAACGGTAAAAGTTTTGCCCTGTGATGTGATCTCCCCCGCATGGGGCCAACATGGGATCGCGGTTACTGAATACACGAGCGCGAAGCTCCGCTGTCAGATCTCCTGCCGATGTTTTGACAGCGCCAAGCTCGGGGATGCCCTCACGATAATCCTGACGTCCTGGAGGACGGCGGGATGAGGGGGAGGGCGGATGTGGTCAGAAGAGGCAGCAGAGGGAGTTAATTGGATCCGATCTACTACTTGCGTTGCCGGTGATTAGCCTGCGATGTATAACGGCTTAAGCGATTACCGTTTCTCCTCATCCTCGTTTATTTAGACGAGATGTCTTTTTTTTTTCCCTCCTCAGCGGATCTGCTCTTATTCCCTTCGACTTCTTGTCAGAGATGAATGCTGGAGTTGTGGGATCTTCTCCTCGAACTTTCAAAGTGTGTCGCAACCTAAACAGCCTGCGCTGTCAGTGAAGAATGGATGTGCAGAGTTTTGTTTTTTTGCATTCGGAGACAAAATTAGCTGAAAATCAGTCGCCGCAGAACATCTTTGTGGTTCTTCCACGGGACAGAGAAGAGCAGTTCAGCTCTCTGACCTGGGATAGCAATGCAACGATCAGGGATTTCTATAAATAGCAACTTTTGACAGTGGGAAACACATGCTCTGGCTGTGTGTCTGCGTGTAGTGTGGCTGTGTGTGTGTGTGTGTGTGTAGTGTGTGTGTGAGATGAGAAACTCGTAGAGCCGGCCTCTGGAACATGATACGTGTGCCAGCCTTTCATGTCACCTGTCATTAGCTTTCATCTGCTAAAATCCAGCTGTCAACGCTAATGACGCCTGTTGAAGTAAAAGACGAAAGTATTGATTTTTACTATTTCTGTTTCTATGAAAGCCAAACTTTTTTAAATTTACTAGAAAGAGGCGGTTCCCAAAGAAGAGGTGCCGGCATTGTAACATGCTTTTCTTCCATTAAGACATAAATGCAAACCCCAATAAACACATATACTTTTAACAAAAGCATCCTAAAAAAAGAATGAATTAAAACGCTATAGTTGTGATAACACACTTTCCAATGGTAGCATCAGCATGCTAGTGATAGCTCAAACTCTAAAGGTACCATTTAAGCTAACAGTAGCATGTTACCTTCAATGCAGTAGCATGTATTCTTAAATGCTAACTGTTAGCCTTTAAGCTAACAGTACATATTTAAATATCTTGATGGTGTTTAGATACCATTAAATGCAATGTAATTGTAGCATTTAAGCTAACAATAGCATGTTAGCAAAGTGTTACATAAAAGCTAAGCTTTATGTACCAAATGGATTACATCAATGTTAAAACTTTGTCTTCCACATTATGATTATGCATAATAAAGTTTGTTATGTGTCAAAATCTGAAAAAGTTAAAAATATTGGTTTCTCCAGGAAGATGTTTGGAACGATTTTCTATAGGTGATCCTAAATCATGAAAAATCACTCCTATTGTTTTTGCAAAATTGGCAACATTTACTTTTTGTCAATAATGATGCAAACACCAAATGTGTTTATGGCTTTGATTGCTGACATCTTATATAATAACATTTAGCTTCATTCGGAAATAATTATATGTGTTTCACATAATGCCTGAATTGTGGAGATATTTTTGAAATTGCGTTTTATAAAAAAAAAAAAAAGAACGTAAAGAAACCAAAGCAAAAGGAAAACATCTAACTGTTATCTGGAAGTGGACGGCATATTTCACAACCGAAATCATTCTTCGAGTCAGCAAGGTCCTGGGGTCAGAATCTACGTGAACTCGCACCTCCTCAAGGTTTTTCCATTTGGTTGGCTCTTTCTCTCAAATGTTACAGGAAGATGTAATGTTGGCAAATGATCACTCTGCTTTCCTCATCTGAACTCTGCCCATCCTGCCAGTTTCCCAGTAAGCTCCCAGTTTTTTTTAAATCAGTTGGCGTCATTTCATCATGTAAAAAAAAATAAGAGGGTTTGAAGTGGCTCCTTCTTTACTTGTTGGTTTTTTTATTCACATATTAGTCATTTGACTTTGCAAACCAACATTTGCCTAACCTCTTTATCTAAACAGGGCGCTACTAAAAGTTAATGGGCACAAACCCTGAAGTGCACACATGATCTTCCCGTTTCTTTGCTCTTGTGTGTTGTTACAGTATTTCAACAAAAGAAAGAAACTTTGACAGGTTGGTAAAGAAAGCAGCAATGCCTTGACATCTGCTCTGAGCGTGATAACCTTAACAAATAAGTCACGACAGATTCCTTGTCCGCCTTATCAGGGAGTCAAAGTTTATCCTTGTTTTTATTCAGTGTCTGCTACCGCAGCCATTGTACACAGACGTGGATGGTGCGCTGCCAGTTATTATGTTTTTGTCTGGGTTAATAAGTCCAGTACTTTGTTTGTGTGCATGTGGGCCTGATAAAGGCAGGAAGAAGGAAAAGCAGCTCAGGTCGTGATAAGACGCTGGTCAGCTCTCTGACCAGCGCGATGGGAAAGCGGTTCACGGAGCAATCGCTGTCGATTGCTCCGTGAACCGTTAAGCGGGACGTCTCGTGATGAACACGAGACCCTCACACTCTTCAGGTGAGAGTCTACTCAGGTAATGAGCGGGAAGCTCTCTACATGCTAATGTTAGAGGGTTGTCCTTGTGTTATCAGCCACTCAAACTGTCCGACAAAGTGCCGATGTGAAAAGCACTAATGTTCCTAAGTGGCTTTTGGAACATAAGGCGAATTACCTGGTCATACCTTGACTGAAGAAGGTGGAGTCTGCTGCATCAGCTTCTTGACCCTGAAAGGAGAAAATATGTTCAAGCAGTGATTAAAGTACGAACGTTTCATCATTTTCTTTGCATCTCCGTGGTTCATTTCCCCTAAATGTCATTGTGCAATCCCGTGCAGAGAAAGTCCTTCTCCGTCTGTTTAGTTGCACTTCAGCCGTGATGCACACGCTGAATCTGGATGAGACGGTTCTGCTCCGGCACATCACCAGGCAGAACTGCGAGCGGCGTGAACGCGCGGGAACGCACTGCACTGCGCTGCGCTATTAATGGAAACCCAGCCGCTAAAAAAAGCTAAGAAGCTAGGAATAATAAAGCACTCTCGAAGGCTGGAAATAGACACACACGCTCCAGTGAGTTACTCGTTCGGCTCCATGCCTTTTTTTTCTTCTTTTTTTATTAATAGCACAGAGTTTCTGAGGACACACTGAGAGGAGGTGGGGGGAAAAAAATGAGTAGCACTCTGTAGAGTCGTGGAGAATTTATAAATTGTAGGGTTTATGGCTTGAATGGAATATATAAACACCACCACCAGTAATATGGAACAACCATCGGTGTAATTTTGCCTGCTCCCCGGGGGGCTGTTTGCAACTTATGAAAAATAAAACTGCTTTTCTGCTGCTGCTCCTTTTTTCTTCATTGGGAAGTTCATATTCTTTATGAAACCTAGAAGATATGCAGTCAAAAAAACTCAACAGTGATGTGGGTGGAAATTACTTGAGACGCCTACGAGTACTGATACTGGACATGTTTCATCCACACTTCTGGTTGAAGAGAGAGTGAAGGCGACACTCAGGGGGGCCAGATCAAAAATTTTAATTGGGGGCCCCCCCTTCGCAGCTGCTGTCTATCACCCTCATCCACTCCCTGCTAAGTGTGCTAATGGAAGATTTTACAAAGATTGCTTGAATTTCTGCGAGTAACAAATTGTTTTTTTGTTGTGCAATTGTAAAAAGAGTAGAGAGAGAAAAATCCATGTAGACTGAACACAGTGTTGCTCACCTTACTCACTGGGAGAGGAGGAAGTGCTTACGCTGCTATCGGATCTAGAGCTGCTGCTGACTGACTCACCTGTCATTAAGTGTGGTAAAAGGTACAGGTACACATTAAATATTTGAATATGCTGTTAAGTTCTTTCCTTCATTCATTAAATGCTAGTGAAATGGAGCCAAACAGTAGATTCTGGCTGAGCTAACTCTGCTAAGTGGTTGTCACTTGGGCTATAAATTTTTTCTCTCTCAAATATGGATGTGTGCTGTTTGGACTGGCCTGATTTTTACCCCTAAAACAATGTTAAAACCTCTACATATGATTCATTTTGTAATTGACAAGGTCCCCCCATTTTTAAAAAAATATTTCTATAAGAAGTTTTTAGGAATTGTCCTAACTTTCCCTCCTGTACGGCACACCTGGCTGCACTGGTCGAGGTAAACAACAAAGAATCACAGTTCAAGCTCAAGCATGCTGAAGCTAAAGTTCACCAAAAACGACTGTGGTTTTCCTAATGCATTTTTGACCCTGTGCCCTTTTTCCCTACATTGTGAAAATGACATTGAGTCACTGATTGAACATTTCAAATACATTTGATCTCTTCCTTCTCTTCAGAAAGATTTCTACTTACTCAGACTGTCAGTAGAAACAGGCTTTCCCTGCCAATCTATCTTTAGTATTTTCAGTTCCCTTGATAGAAAAAAAATAGGTTTTTCAGAGTACATTTGTAAGCATCACTTATGAACAAAGTCCAGACAAACAAGTCTATACACTTCAAAAGTAACGTATCAAAAAATGGCTGAAAACAACTAGTTCAGGGGAAAATACTGGGCTTTTTCAAAATGGTTTCTTACCTGATGTCCACTACTCTCCACCTGCACGATTTTTTTAAATTATACAATTAAGTAAAACGCTTTCCAACCTGGCAACTTATAATTATTTTTGTTTTGGTAGCCTAAAACACAAAAAGTGTCACTTTAAATTGATCAAAAATTATATGCACTTGCTTCTGAAACTTGAAAATCTGCAAAACAATAAAATACAAAGCTGACATCCAAACATGAACAAAGAGATTTCTACTAACAAAGCCTGAATGTGAGTCTCGGTAGTTTTTGTTTGTTTTTTTAATTTGTGAACTATTCATTAGAAAGTGTGGCCTTGTCCTCCCTGGTGTTGGGTGAAAGTCGGCGGGTTGTGGTTAGCTGGAATCAGCCCGCAGCGTCTGATAGCGCCATTCTAGTTTGAACCACTTCCTGTACTACGGGCTAATATCTATCTCTGGCACAGTTTCAGGAGTGAGTGTCCTCTTTTAGTTCATGTTCCGCTTTTTGTTTTTTTGGTTCCTGGAAGAGGAACCAAGCCTACGCCGATACGCTGTGCTACGCTTTTAGTGCAGCGTAGACGCACTAAGAGGAAGTAGTCACAGGCTAGAGTTGAAGATTTTGACCAGTCCTCAAATCTCTTCTACAAATCTGAAAACTTTTTATGAATGACGGGATTTTCTTTTCTGCTTCTTGTCTGCCTGTGCATGAAATGCCTTCCTCATAATTTTAGGCGTGAGAAAGAATCACAACCTCCTAACGGACGAAGACGAGACGTCTGTGGACGGACATGTGGACGGACATCACGCCGCCATCCTGTCTAAAAATGTTCCGCGTCTTCCACGGGAAGGAAGTCATTTCTGTAAGCGCTGGCAACAGGGGAGCAAGCCAATGTGATCAAAAAAGAAACAAGAAGTTTTGTCTCGCCATTAAAAAAAAGAAATAAAAATAAAAATACAGAGCTTGTTTTAGACTTTAAAATCCATGACCAGCTTTTGTTCCAGCTGATTCATATTTTTGGTGCTAATAAAAGAGGAAAAGATGAGTATGTGAATGAGAGGGGAAGCAGTTGAACAAACTGGTGAGTCTAACAGACTGTGGGGGAGTTTTAGCTTACTGGGGTTTTCTGTCGGCCCAGATATTGCGGGTCTTTGGCTGTTATGTTTGAGCGGCATGTCAAACTTCAGTAACATCAGAAAAGTTACCAGCAAACGCCATAAGAAAGGAAATAAAAACACCCTAAAACCGACTTCTGCCTACATTTACCGAACTTCTTTGGCCTCCTTGTAGCCTTTAGTCAGTTTCTTTGGCCTCCTTGACAACAACCCGGCCGTGATAATATTTAAAGAAGGGGCTGCTGAATAATAGATGAAATAATCAGCTGTTTTAACAATGCCACTTACTTTTCGGCCTTTTCCCTGTCGTCCAGGAAATACAGTGCCGTGGCCAGGAAGAACATGCCCCCCACGACAATGATGAAGGGGCACAGCATGAGGGCATAGCCCAAACTGAGGAACTTCCACAGTTCAGACGAAGCGAATCGCTCCTGTAGCTTGTCAGAGATCTGCAGCCAGACACAAAGAAAAAAGAGAAAACATTAAAAAATAAATAAATAAAAATAAAAGCTCGTCACCAAGCGGGGATGTAAGTAAGTGATCAATGAGTCAACCTAAAGTTGATTGATCCTATCAAAGAACCAACGGTTAATTAATTAATAACCATTTCCTTAAAACTCTGACGATCGTGTTTCAATTGGGTGGACCGCCTTTCTGTAAGACGAAGGTCTGAACCGTTTCTCTCTCGTTCTGGTGAGGCGCCGCCATTTTTATTCCTGTATATTCAGCCGGCTCCCTGGATGACCAGCGGTGCCCTCTTCTGGTCGGAGGCCAAACTACAACAATAAAAGAAGGTCTAAAAGTCCAATAAACCATTAATCGACATCTAATCCTAAGGCCAATATTCAAACCTTCTACAATACACTACCCAGTGTTGGTTTTCACATGTTTGTATGCACTTTTTCTCCAATTCAAGGCAGAGTTTGACAACCAACAGCTAATCTGAGAATTCAGTGTGTCATGTGTTATGCTAAGGGGAACAACAGCTGAAGAAAAGTGGGTGTTATGGCTCCCTGTATCGCTCATAAGGCGGTCCCACTGACAATCACATGGCTACTAATGGCAACGCTGAGCTAGCTGCGTGTGGATGGGTCGGTGGGAGGCGAACAGCAGGACTCTGCTGGTGCGTGAGTCAAAGTGTGGCAGTGGCTCTGCCACACTGACTTCATGTTAGCTCCCGCAGACTGACATTCACTGCAGGAAAAAAGCTGGAGGAGGATATTGAAGGAGGTGAATCTGTGCGAGGGGAGTGCGTGCATTGGGAAAGAGCCATTAAAAACCCAGGCGGCATCAGTGTGTGCGTGGCCAGTCCAGGGCCCCCATTTCATCAAGAACAGTAAATTCTCTGCAACTTGCACAGAGCAGCAAAGCTAAAAATAAGCAGAGAACTGCTGTCGGTCTAATTATCCTGCCAGAAGGCATTTCTTAGATGATTATGGAGATTGTTTCTGGCTACCAACTAGGTGGTATGGTCCTTCTCTACTGGTAGAGGAGGGTTGTGTTTATCAGGAGGATTCTTGAGTGGCATCAGTCTGATATGCTCTGATGAAAATGAGTCTCGGCTCAAATTTCTGGGAATTTCAAATATTCAGCGTTTTAAAAAAAAAAGGTGGTAATTTTCCTGAGGCGTGACCACTAAAAAGCAGCTCTCTCCCGCCGGATCTGGTTTGTTGACCTCAGGCCTTCGTCTTCAGGTCTGCTCGGTGCTCAAGCCCAAAACCTCAGCATGCACCAAAATAACTGAGTCATTTTCCCTATCTTTCTCCTGTGGTTGCTTGGCGATAACCATTTGCTGTTTCCTGCTGTTCCGTCTCTTTTTGCCAATTCACGGTCGCCCCGGCCAATACGCATGGGCGACTGCATATCTGCCCCCACTTGGTGTGCGTCACGACCGGTCCGTCACACTCGTGTGCTAAACCTCAGCTCAGGACACTGACGCACTCCGAGCGTTCGGAGCAGTCGTCAGTCGGGCTTTTTGCGGAGGAAGCGAGAAACCTCCGGGCGTTCAGAACATCACTCATCAGGAGAGAACTGTGGCGTGGAGTGGAGTGGATCCTGGGGGACTGAAGAAATGTGCGAGTAATCCAGGGTGGCATTAATCTGACTCATGGAAAAAGTGGATGTCAGTAATAAGAGTGGTACTAAATGGTGCTTTGTCTAAGTCTTCATTTTGTTCAAACTTTTCCATGTGTTTTAGGTTGCAACAACAAATAATGTATTCTTGGGGTAGTTAATATGATGGATCAACACAAATCAGTGCGTGAAAGAAAAAGGATGCCTGGTTTTCATTTTTTTCAAATACAAATCTGACAAGATTAGCATGAATTCATCTGCCTTCACCTGATTAGTGGACTTTTAGGGCACATTCAAAACTGCGTATGTGGTGTAAAACTAACACTTTGCATCAGTTTAAGAGGCAGGTCGACATTATTGGGATGTTGGACGGCACTAAATACAAAATAATCCCAGAACAAAACCGGTTAGAGATCGTAAAAGGCTGCATAATTGGTTGGGTTCACCTCCCGGGTGAATAGTAACCCTAAACATAAAGTCCGAATTGAAGCAGAACAGTTGAGATCAAGACATTTTTATTTGTTGCTGTGTTCTAGTCAAAGTACAGACTGAATTTCATTTGGAATCTGTGGCAAGAAATGAAACTTGGTGCTGCGAAACGCTCTTCATCCAGTCTGTCCCACTAAGCGTTTGGGCACAACGTGGAGAAATTCATGTGGCCATGAAGGAGAGAGTTTCTGCCAAACTCAGATTTATAGATTAATTTGACGTATTTGAGCGTAAGAATCTTTAAAATGTTCTCTGATCTTTAAAATGTCGGACTGTTTTTCCTACAAATGTCCGACTTATGTTTCCTTTTCAAAGTCAGAGAATATCCTAGTTTTAATATTGTAAATGTATGCATTAAATCATGGAAATGTATTATTTCTTTTTCTTAAAACTTTTGACATCAGAGGATATCTGTATATTTTTCTTAGAAATCCGTGAAAATGATGTTGAAATTTCTGAGTTTTGTTGATGGAAATTTTCTTGTCTGTGGCCACATTATTTATATACAGTGTTGTGCTTATATGTTTAAGGTTAAGGCGTGTCAATACCTTTGTAAGGCGTTGTACATTAGCATACAGGCGTACTCTCACTTTCCTATCAGCACAAGCTCCATGAGGAAACATAATGCATAAACTGGAGCTGAAAGTCCTGCTTTCACCTCAGGATATTCTGAGTTTAATTGAGTGGAAAATGACTAAAAATGTCACCTTCACTTTCTGTGGGTAACTTTTGAAAGCTTCAAATAAAAAAAAGTGTGAAAATACTTCAGTTTGAGAAAGTCGAGAATTACAATGGCAAATAACATGTTATTCAAAAAGTTTCTTTTTACTTCTACATTGTTTTTTTTCTCCTTACACTCAGTTTGAAACATGGTAGAGAGAGGAAGTTAAGATCAAACCGAAGAAAACTCCTATGTAAGTGCAGAAACAATATTTATTTCAGGGCAACGCTGCGTCTGATCGCTCTATTGAGAAACGCTTCTTGCTCTCGCTCCTTTCACCTGCCTCAGATGCTAGTTTCAGATTTTCATTCAGGCGAGAAGGAACAGGAACGGCAGCGGCTCAGCACAGCTGCGCCTGTCGCCAGCCTGTCAGGTCCTGACGGAGGATCCTGAATGAGTCTGATTCTCTTAATCAGAGACATCCGCCACGTTTGTTGATGGAGCTCAGACTGCGAGCAATAAAACACACACCCACAAAGCGCTCTATTCTCCCGATACGAGTTGCAGTCCCACATGGACATAAAAAATGAAAAAAAAGGCGATTTAAAATGTTAAATGCGCGGATAGAGTGTGACACGTGATGCGGCGTGTAGGAGAATGCACTTCTTCCTGCCTTTATTACCATTTCCTTACAGAATGCGGGGGAGGAGGGGCTCAGTGGCTATTTAACTTTAGAAATGTTCATTCTCACTTTAAAATAAGACGAATGTGTTTTGACAGTCTGATGCGAATCCCGTTTCACACTCCATTGAACGCCGAGCAGCACTTTCACTCCGGCTTCCTGAATGCTATTCTTTTGGGGGGTGTACGCACTCGGTCTGAAAGGTGGGGAGCGTTAGGTTGGAGCGGGGGAAACAGGCTGACTGTGACCTTGAGAGGCCCGGGAAGGACGACTCTCTCATCTGGTAGACTAAATCAAATACAGCAGCTCTGGCGTCTCCGGGGGGAGCCGGGAGACCTGCTAGAAAATACCACTGATTGCCTGGAGAGCAGCGGCAAAAATCACAATCCTGTTCACCGGTTCTCCTGGGACAGGTCAGGTACGCTAAAAGCACTTTGCGCTGGCCTAGTTAAAGCCGGAGCTGAGCCGGTGTATAAATGTGCTTGTTTACGTGCCGAAGCGGCGCGCGCCATATTTGTCAGCTGGTGTGCGTTTTAAGCACACAGCCACAGCTTGGGGAGAAGGCGGATGGGCGAGGGTCTTACCTTGCCGATCAGGTACGGACTTCCTGCGTCACCCAGGAGATGAGAGGTGAAGCTCTGAAAGGCGACGGCTGTAGCTCTCCGTGTGGGAATAACAACAAACTGCAGAGAGACAGGAAGAGGGAAATAAGGTCAAGGTGAAGAAGGGAGTCACACCACTTGGTCGGCTCAGATAAAGCCGGGAAACTAATTAAAAATAAAGAATTTGTTTGGCTTATTATCTTTTTAAAAAAATTTTACAAACACAGACACGTACAAATTGTCGTTAAATAATTCACACCAAATGATTTTCTGGAATTTTTCACGCCGCCGGAATGAAACTTTAATCAACTTAATTGGGTTTTTAGGACACTGACAAATGAGAAACACTACATGACTAAAAAGATAAGAGGATAATGAGAATAGATTTCAAACGTTATCACTAATAAAGCTCTAAAAAGGTCAGTTTTTCTTCCAGCACTGTGCTGTATTTTGCTGCACCGGTACTCCCATACATTTCAACCAGCAAGGATCAGAATGCCGCCATCACCATGTTTCACTATGACGACGGCGTGTTGGGTTAATCGATCAAATTAAGCCAAAAGAGTTCAATCAAATGCATCCATCCACATGTTTTTTTTTTCCTTCCACTTTAAAGTCAAGAGCAGCTTCTTGTTGGCTGAATAAAACCCGAAAGGAAAACATTAAAGTTTGTGGCTCAGTGGGACTTAAATGTAAAAAAATAAATAAATAAATCGAAGCGCATGAATACTTTTGTATCTCACCCTATTAAGATCAGAGTTCAGCCTTTATGACTCAGTTGATCCACTCAAAGACTTGCTCCACTTACCATTAAAATGTCTGCAGTCAAAGCCCAGTTCACGAAAAGCAGCGTCTCTCCGATGAAGATGCAAACCTAAACAAAGACAAAGAGATTTCTCTCTGAGAGCCGCCACTTTCCGCTGACCTGACATGTAAACCAGGGAAGAGCCGGAGGATATTTCTATCGCTGCTTTAAGAACTGCTTTGGTTAAAAGCGGTTCGAAAACATGTTATTATGGCGCTGCCCCATAGATTATGTTGACATGTAGGTTTTCACTGAGCTGTACCCCACAGACTGAAAACCAGCTCGGGATGACAACAATTGTTTATTTTCGTCACCAGATATTCAATGCGGGAAAACGCTCTGGCACTGCGATTTCAAATTACGTCCCTTCGGAATAGACAGAGCAAGTTGTTTTACTCTTCCAACGACCTCGGACTGCATCGACGTACGTGCAGCCGCGTCGTTCTTGACCGCTTGACTCGTAAACACACCTAGAGGGATTTGGTTGCGGTGGAATCTCGTGTGTCTGCACTGCCCGGCTTCATCTGACCCGCTTGAACACGGCCGACTGATGTGTGTTTCCTGCTGGGGAGTAACCCCCTTCACTCCCTCTCTCGCCCGTCCGTCAGAGCGCCAGACCTACAGTGCAGCACAGAGAGAGAGATCCGGCAGGGTTCCGACAGCCGACATGTCAGACGGGTCCGCCCTGAGGCCAATGCGTTGCCTCCTGAAAGAGAGGAGCCAAGTCTCGTCTCGACAACAGCTGCGAGGGGTCGGTGGGCCTCGGTGGGCCTCGGTGGGCCTCGGTGGGCCTCGGCGGAGCAGCGCCGGCGGTTCCAGCCGTGTCACGCCTTATAACAAGACACATCTGTCAACTCCTCGCAATGAAACCCGACTCGCTCTCTTACAACCGCAGCGGAGTTCGATGGTTTAACACGGTACAGTAGAGAGCACCGACGCCAGAGGTGAAGTCGCATGTTGCGAGCGGTTTATCCTAATCGAGGCGCATGATTAGCCGAATATTACCCCTTTGCTGCACCTGATTCCTATTCCTGTCCGTTAGGATGAGCTGGAGCCTATTTCTGCAAGGCAGCGGGTGTATAACATCGAGTCGGACAGACGTGTGGCCGTGAAATGAGTGTGGATACGTCCGTAGCTGGAGTCTAATTGGCTGAGTCACGCTGCTGTCAAACACCTGATAAATGTGCACCTTTGACCCAATGGGAGTTCATGAAAATCCTACTTCATTAAATCCCATTTATTATTCATTTCAGCCGTTATTTAATATTTGGAAGCTAAATTAGAAGTTGCAAGACGACTGCAGTATCTTTTCCGAAGCACATTTTACGAGCACAAGCCGTTAAATGCATGCAGGCAAGAAGTGTATCATTGCAGTTCTGCTGACAGCTTTAAAGAACGCGTTTCAACTTTCCCTTTATCATTTCAACCACCCTATGCAGAAGTTCCAGTAGTTGCAGTTGTCTGAATGGGTTTAGAGTTTATGTGAATTGCTTGGATTCAGAATATAGATTTGGTTTTGGACCGTAGGACTGAGGCTGGAGATGTTTCCAAAGCTTCATGTTGGCCTTCTTCGTTCATACCAAAGCCGGCTTTGATGTGTTTGGGATCAGTGTCCTGTTGGAGCTGTGTGCAATAGTCCCACAGCATGATGCTGCCACCACCATGCTGGACAGCTGCTACAGCATTCTTAGGCAGTCTGGTGGGAAAACATATTCTTGTTCGTGTGGATTGTCTCAAACTTCAATACTATAAAGAAAATAATGGAATATGCTCTAAAGCAAGGTCCAACAAACACATTTAAATAAAACTACCAACTCAAATATAAAAAAACTGGAAACATATGGGGAAGTTTGTCCTTATAGTTGTCAGGGTATATATGCATAGTATTGGGGCAGTATGTTTTGTTTTTGAAATTCTTAAAGTGATTTTCATGACTTATTCCTGGAAAATGAAATGCTCTGTCTTCAAAATCCCCAAATTCATATAATACTCATTCTCTTGGGCTCTCTGAGGGCACCAAGAAAAAAACCCCGAAAACATGTTGAACAAATCCAGTCGTAGGGAACAATGAGCGGCTAGACCTTCTAAGGTCGGCCACAGTCTGTCATTTAGGAAAGTCTGTTTGCTGCGCTCTCTGACAGGCATGGGAAAATATTCCCCAGATATGCAGCTATAATACCGACCGGCACCTTGAGGGTCATTTCATACTCCTTTGTAAGTGATAAGAACAAAATAATGTGCGCTTGCTAAGACCAGACTGGATTGTTCCGAAGCTGTGATTGTGAAGCGGCACCCTTTCCTGCTCCACGAGGCTGTTACACCGAGAACGCCACGCCGATGTGTTCATTAGATCAGCCACAGCTAACTGCAGCAGCTTGCCGAGGTCACGCTAAAGCCGACCTGCGACTGAGGCCGCTCGTCACACAGAGCGGCTCTCTGCCCCGCGGCCCTGAGAAGAGCTGGTGTCACTCTCGGTGTCCTCTTACAGCTTTATTCAAACATCAACCCCACCTCAGTGAGCTTTTACAAGGTCTTCACCTGCTAGACTGCTCACAGAGCTGTCACTTTCAGCGTTGTGCCCCTGAGGTCAAACACCGTGACTCACGTATCGCTCTGTGTGAGGGCGGAGGGGGGCGCAGTTTCCGTCAGAGAAAACAAAAAGGGATAAACTTACATAAGCTCCGACGATGCTGTTCTTGGCCACGACAAAGATGAGGCAGATGAAGATGGAAGAGCCCAGCATGGTGACGGCGCACACCAGGGGGTCCGCCCGCTCCGTTCTACGCCGAAAGAACCGCGTGGTGCTGGCTCCGATGACCACGCCCAGCAGCCCCGTCACGCAGGTGATGGCCCCGAAGATGAGGCTGCAGGAAACGACCACGAGTGAGGTTAGGATGAAATGCGAGCCTTAATGCGCTTTAGCTTCCCGGTCAAAAGAGACCAAGTGCTACGGTAGAAAGGGCCCACTAATCATTTCATCCCTAAAGGTAGATTCTATAATTCAAACGGCATATAATACCTGTAAGCATTTTACTCATAGCAGAAGCCTCTCCGCCGACGTCTCACCTGTCTCTGCTGCTGCAAACTTTTTTCGTGCAGGCTTCCACCTCCTTCTGCACCACCTGCGCTCGGAACAGGTAGATGGGAATCAACATCCCAAACGCGCCCGTGGCAAAGGACACGGCTGCTGTCGCCAAGGTCGAGAACACGTAGCTCCGGCTGGCGGAGAGGAAAACACAGAGGCCACACAGTTGAGTGACGGTCAGGGAAGAGGAAGACGAAATAAACTGAGCTCCTGTTGCACTTCACGCAGCTTCCTCATCGCGCCAATAATATTTGGCCGGCATCCTTATGATGCGGCTCTAGGGAAATATCTGGATCTACAAGTCGATTGTTACCCTAAGACAAGCTTTAATCGCAACTGGATCTCCAAATAATATGTTTAATTTTCTAGCAGAGATTTAATGTGTGCACCTGTGACGGTCCAACAAATCACAATGGTTATATCGATCCAGATATTCACATATTAAAACAAATATGAATTATTCATTTTTAGTTCAAATGTAAAAAGTAACATTTTTACATTTGAACTTTCAATCCGAGAACGCACCATAAATAAGCTCCACCGGGTTATGCTAACTACAACACTCTTTGGTGTGGAAGTTGAAAGAAAATAAGACTATTTTCAGTATCGGAAAGAAGAAGTCCAACAAAGATGCTGTTCAGCAAGGATTTTAGCTCATGCTGTTTTGTTTTATTTTACTTCTGGACAGTTGTGATGATGCGTAACTGTGGTAACAAGGTATTGTTTTTACAATTGGGAGCAGCTGATTAGCGTCTCAGAAGCTCAGATAACACCAGAACTTCAGCCTCAACTCACAAAAGGAAAAAGGACATTTATGGAAAAAGAGCAGAGAGAGAAGCAGGAAATTCAAACTATTCCTTCCACTGATCATAATAGGTAAGGATCAAATCCCCAGCTCTAACCTCTCTCTGCCTCATTTTCTATCCAAGAAGATATAAAGAGGAGCAGCAAAGCAAATGAAGCGGATTAGCAGTTCTTGTTAGCAACTACTGCTGTCATTCAGGACATATTAACGTGAAATATCATGTGTAGTGCCTGGAAATAGACCCGTCAGCATGTCATGACAGTCATGAGACTAAAATACAGCAACAGTCTTCAGTCAGAGGCCCCTTCAGATTTGTTCCAAGACTGACTGCTAGTGGAGATTCTTCCGGCTCACAGCATTGAAATTAAGTGCAGAGATGCAAGAGGAAATGTTGGCAATTGTTTTGAAGTCTCACAATTCAGGTAACAATCAGTTTAGAAAACAGAGATTCAGTGATTTGAATTAGTAATAAAAAATAAATAAATTCTGCTAATCCTACAAATTGCTGTGCTTTAAATGCCAACTTTAAAATAATATTGAAATCCTTGGTAATTTTGGAATCGGCTCAATTCAGAGTCACAGCTTTACAAAATTGCCAATCTGCTATCATGACAGTCGTTGATCAACCAGCTCCTCCATCCAAAACATTAAACCAAAACCGAAGAGGAGAATCTGAGCAAGCAACCGAAACCCCCGGTGCACGACGGTGCAAAGCCTCACTTCTTGGCGAGCGCCTTCATGTCACTGAGCCACGATTGGGGGATGCGTCCTTCCATCTGATCCGCGCTGCCTCTCTTTGGGTCAGGCACAAAGAGCAGGATCAGAGTGCCCACGGTGATGCCCAGGAACGGGGACACCTGATGAGACGAGAAATCAATCGGTCAGTGCGGTTCACAGTGAGACCCCGTGTGGGCTGTGATCGTGCTAACGTTTTGTGGGGTTGTCAAACCATGTGATGCAGAACAAAGAAGCGTGTGTGTGTGTGTCTGCGCTCTGAATGCGAGGCGGCTGTTTGCTGATACGCCTCACATCTTATACAAGCCCTATGAAACTAAGAGCATTCCCTTTGCTCACTCTGCTGGTACTCTGTGTGCGTGTTCCTGTGCAGAGATGGGTTGTATACAGGAGACTAAATGAGCTTTTTGGCTTTGAAAGCTGCTTTGTAAGCAGGAGTGACTCTTGCAGGTGCCCATCTGCTGTGATCTTTACTGCCATGCTTTCTGGCTCGTGTGATTGCAGGCTTGTACCTGAGTCAGTCTGTGTCTGGGAGACACAAAGACGAGGAGCCGGGACGAGATGTGTGAGACGGGATTTGTTTGAGTAATCCCAGCTACCAACAAAAGCGGAGGCAATATCTGTCAGGGGAAATTACTCTCAACTCTCTGGCGGCTCATTAAAGGCTGTTATATTTTTATAGGTGCTGTTACCATACTATAAAGAAATGTGTACATGTGAGAATTAAGCTACGTCGCAACCTCGGTTTGTTAGCATTTGTTGACGTGCTTTCAAAATAAAGCATTTACCAAATCTAACCTTCCCGAAGTGAAATATTGAATGTTTTTTTTGTCTTTTTTCCATTTTGTCATCTTGAAATCACAATTTTTATGAGTGGGATGAGGAGAAAACCCATCGCTGCAAGAAATCAATAAAACAAATCGTGTTGAAAAAAGAGAATACAGCTTCAACTTAAAAGAAACGACTTATTTAGTCACAAAGAACTGAGTGGAGTTTGTCAAACTTATATTATTTACATTTCTTTAACTTGAAAACTTCATGAATAAACTTGAATTAACGTTCATCCTTTTGATGAATTAATGCAATATATTTAAGTTGTTCTGTTTGTTTCAGTATAGCAGCTCTGGTCAGACGATGCTAAAATTAATCTTTTTGACCTACATGCAAATTGCTGTGTTGAACCAACAGACAGAAACTTGGTTAAGAAGAAGAAGAGGAGGAAGAAGGAGAAGCAGCTCCGACAGCAGAAAATAAGTGTTTCACTTTCTTTACTTTTAGCTCTTTCAATACATGGGTTGTCTTCCTCCTACTTCAATCTGATAAACTACTTTTAGTTGTCTTATTAAACAAAACAAAAGTGTTTTGTTATTTTTGCCATCACGGTTAATCAGTGAGACACCAGAAGCCTGTGACCTTTGACCTGCAGTCCCACAAGACCCATTAGACACTTCCTGTTTGACATAGGGCAATCGCACAAATAGCAGACAATATTTTTTTTTTTTGTTGCCATTTCTCTTCATTGACTTTTTCAGGAAGGTAGCTGGAACACACCGGACAAAAACAAAAGGAAGTGCTGCTACCTTGTTTTTTTTAAATTTTTTAATCTTTGTTTAAACAGGATATAGCCACACAGAAAACGTTTCATGTCTCGGTATTTGTCTTCCTCTGCATGCCACGGCGCTGATTAATCGGCTTTGAGATCGTTGTATTGGAATGTCATTGTGATCGCTTTGGAGCAAATTTTCCTCTTCATTACCCACTCCAATGTTTGTTTTTTATTGTTTTTTTTTTATGTCTTACAAAAACAAAAACAAATGGAACTTCCTGTCCCCGAAGTCTTCACGTCCAGGATCGCTTTCCCGCTTTCCAACGTTCTGAGAACGTTAATGCCTTCCTTTAAACAAGGTCATAATTTGTTTTAGCGATTTTAAAAGCCGACGCTGAAGTCAACGGTTCCTGTGGAGTCCCGTTGGACCTTTCGTTGGTCTTTTCCATTATGGCTGCTATTCCTCATGGAGCACTTTGGATGCGAGTGTTTTGTTTCACGCACCCAGTGGATTCCAGGGCAGTGATACATGCTCCTAATTTAACACTAGTCACAAGAATTCATGCAGTTTATGCAACAGTATCACCTTTTAATTTAAAGGTTCTCACTTTAACGCACGTCGAGCATCGTTTGAGGCATTTTCCAATCAGGCACTTCACAAAAAATGTGAGGTTAAGCTAAAACAAAATCTCACTTTTGAAAAAATTGCTAACCCGGAAGAGTAAAAGACTATTATATCCATTTCTCGAATTCTCATTGATCCCTTTTAGTTTGTAGGAAGTGTCTTTTGACATGGGTCCATCCAACTTGACATTATTAGACTTTATTATGGCTTCATTTTTGGATTGGACTGCCTGAAGCTGCTTTATTTAATTTTACTGTGGAAGATAAAGCTTACAGCCCCAAAAACATAATCACACTTTTAAAACTAAATATATCTAGCAATCTAAATTATATAAAATTATATACATATGGCTTATGTTCAATATGGCTCATTACTTAAAACGTGGCAGCAAAACTTGTCGTGTGAAAAGCAGGCAAATGAATATGAATATAGGCATGAATGGCATTAATATGCAATTTTTTAAAGTTGGAAATATGATCATGTGTAATCATGTTTGATTACACCAAAATAACACACAAACCACTGACATTAAACATGTTGGCAAATTTGAACGCCTCATTTTAGTTTTGAACTCAACAGAACACGCTCAACACATTTGATGGTAAAATCTTTGGAAGTGCTTCTGCAAGAGGGGGAAGTGACACTAATGGTTGTGACAGTTGTTCGGCCTCTAACTTTGTGTTGTGTTGTTTTCCCAGTAAAGACGCAGCCATGATGGACTCTGAATCCAGAAATAACCCCTGGTGTTTCTGTCCCCGCTGACCCCAGATCCATAGCAAGCCCCCGCAGCCAATCAGAGACCCTTCATCTGTATTTGTGCACTTTTTTTTTTTTTTTTTTTGTCTCCCCCCTGAAGGCTGATGATGAAGATGACGATAAACTTACCCTTAGTGCCCAGTGCCAGTCCTCAGCGGCGTCCTTGGCACTGGAGCCCAGGATGTAACCCAAGCCGCTGCAGAGGGGGAGGGAAGGGCGACACAAACATTGCACATTAGCAACAAAAGCCCACTGCACTTAACGCAATTATCTACAAAGAGCAATGAGTTGACCTGAGACCGTCGTTAACATCACTTAAGCGCACGCCTACGCTGCTCTCTTCCTGTCTGTCCTCTAGCTAAAGTTGTGGGATACGATGTGGGATTGATCTTAACACCAGCAGTCAGAGGACTAGCAGTGGGCCTGTTTGTGGCTGAGTGATCAGGGGATGCAACCAGAAACTGCAGGTGCAAAACTGAATCTGAGCTACAGAATTCAACTTTAAGATTTTCTGACCACATACAGACATCACTTTGGTTTTTATTACAGAGTGGAACACTTTTATTGGCATTCCTCTGTCAAGAGTTTGGCAGTAACTAGTTACGTTTTCTCAGTTGCAGTTACATGAGTAATTTCTTTGAGTAATTTTAAGAGTGTTTGCTGCAACTTTTGCTTTTACTTGGGAAATTTCAATACTGGTACTTTTAAGTAAACTTTCTGGATACTCTTCCCACTGCGAGTAACGTCACCGAATGAAGACCACAAAATACCAGACACAAACGCACACAAGCAGGTATTTTGTAATTATTTTCATTGTGGTCTTAAAAGTAGCAGAATTTCCATGTATCTCAATATTTTCGTCCTTCTGATGATGTCATTTTTAAATATTAAATGACTGTCTTTTTTTCATCAGTTCCTCATTACTTCAGCAAATACTTTTTCATTCTTGAGAAATTTCTTACTCAATAAATTACTGTTACTTGAGTGAAAATATGTTGAAGCAGTTCTAGTCTTACTTGAGAATAATTTTTGGTACTTTGTTTGAAAATAAATAACTTTTGTTGTTGCATTGGCGTGCTGCTATACTTAAAAATATTTTGCAGTTAAGTCTGGGGCTGAAATCATCACAAATTGATTCAACTTCGTGTTTCAGGGCTTTATCTTATAAGACGACAGATTAATGCCTCATTTTTATTTATTCTCTGGTGTAAAATAGTCTAGTATTTTAAAGAGCAAATGATGGCCAGAATTGACTTCCTATGGTCTTTGGAAGGAACCCAGGCCCACAGCATCACAGATCCTCCACCGTACCTAATAGCAGGAATGAGGTGCAGGTCCTCCAGTGATTGCTGGAGTGATTGCTGCACATAATCTCAATCCTATCTGTTTAATTCACAGTAGAGTTAATCTACCCCATTTACAAATGTTTTTGTTTGTTATTTGTGGGTGGGTTTTCATATCTGACATGCTTTCTCAACAGTCTGTTGGCTCTCGATCAGCTCTTGAAGATGGAGCTCCACAGCATATTCTTTTTTTTTTTAAATAGTGTTTGGTTTAGCTTCAGTAAAACCTGTCTGGCTGATTAATATGCATTCTTTAACCCTATTTTATTGCAGGTGCGATGCCTCTGAGCGGGAGATACTGTGTCTTCCTGCAACAACATGGCAACAGATTAATGATTAATAGCAGCCAAGACCTCAGCAGGGCTTTCTTATCAATAATAGCCGCAGATCATCCTTAGCCAGATTTGCACACACTCAAAGGAAAACACTGAAGCTGTTTATGCTTGTGTTTCCAAGGTTAGTCCACCAATCTTAACAGAGCAGTATAAACTTTATCCAGGCAGCATGCAGTGTTTCCAGTGAGTGACTAACGGCCTGTCTTATCAGAGTCAACTCAGAGTGCACGTCTGGAAAGTTCAACACCGTAGATAAAACTCAAGCCTGGAAAAAATATATATAAAAAAATAACATAAATAATAAAATCACACCCAACGATCGCCGTCATGGCACACAAATATCAGCCAGGAGAGCCGAGATTCAAAGAATAACAAGGAAAATGGCGGTAAGGTCAATTTCTTTTGAATTTGATCCGACTCCACGGGTCATTTCCTGGAAATAGTGCGAGCACTTCAGTAAAAACAAACAAGTGGCAGAGTGGATGGGAGGTTCGACGGCTCCTTTCTGAAGCCAAATCTTTAACCTTCTATTGTTCGTGCTGCTGGTCAGTTTACAGTGACCAGGACATTTAGGGGACGCCTTGGAGGGCAGTTGTCTTTCCTGTCTCATTGTCTCCTATAGGAGTTTAAGAACTGATGTTTGCAGTGAAGGAAGTTAGTTATGTAACAGCTTACCTCTGCGTTTTAACTGGAAATAATCTAAAGTGACAGGTTATGTAATTACAGAATTTATCACGATGAGGATGTTTATGATGCTAGAGAAACTGCAGCACGTCTGTCCTTCCTAGCGAGGGTTTGTGCATGAAGAAGACTGTCAGCAACCTGCATGTTGCAGCTCAGACTCGTGTTGTTGTGCACTTAGTCTTAACTGACTCCCATAATCCAGCACCACAAAATGTATTTCATAATTTGGCTTCATTTCTTTTCTAAAAATGGCTTTGGATTTGCGCTTATTACACAAAAAAAATTACACAAACTAAAAAAATTTTTAAAATATAGCTTCCATCGAAGCTTTTCCTATTGGAGCATTACACAGCTAACAGTCAGGATCAGATTTTCTTGCCCTGAAAGTGTTTGAGTTCAATATCCAGCGTTTCCCCCAAGTGTATTATAAGCCTGGCGGGCCACTTTGCTTATTTTTTAAAGTCTTTTTAAAACGTTTGCATTTTTTACGACTTTATAGTTGCTGTTTAGGTATCAATCTTACAATAATTCAATAACACATAATTATCAAGTGATATTTTAAAATTTCCTGTCAACTTTAAACATCTTTTTAACTCGAAAACTCTACAGCTGCCGAGTGCCCCAACCACCAGGCTTGTCAAGTGGGAAACCTTGAACATCTGATTAAATACTTACAAGTTCAGGCCTACAACCTACAGTTTTTGCAGTATATATAATTTGTTGCAATATGTCTATCTCAATAATTTTAAAATATCACCATGTAGCTGAGTGCTTAATCCAAGAATTTTAATGGAAAATTGACTGTAAGGAAACGGTGTACAGCTAACAAGGTAACACCTCATGAACCAAACTGACAAACATGTTTGCATTTTGAGGTTAAAGTAGGTTGAAAACTCCGGATAAAGCAACATTTTCATGGGAGGACGTCCTGTAAAATTCCTATGTTTGGTATTTTTCTTTTTTAAAATGTTGACTCTGGAAGAACTTTCTGACTTGGACTGATGGGTTTCATTCACCACGGTGTACTTACTATCCCAGCGGGATGGCCAGGTAGAAGACGGAGAGCATCATGGTGCGGTTGTTGCTTGTGTACAGGTCTCCTATGATGGTGGGGGAGATGGCGGAGTAGCTGGACTCGCCGATGCCCACCAGTCCTCTGGAGAGCACAAATAGCCAGTAGTACTGCAGAGAAAACAGAGAAGGAAAAGAAGCAGAAAGAAAAAAAAAAAAACAAGTCAATCAATAAGCTCTGTGGAGCACAGCAGGTAATCTGTCTCTTTGAACACCACGTCAAACAAAACACATTTTTCATCTTGTTTAAGACTTTTTCCACCTCCAAGCTTTCTTCTTATGCAAATCCTTTATGACTAAAAGCTTTTACTCCTTTTTGTTTATGTTCTGCAACCTCAACCATAAAACATTAAATCTCCTAAATTGCAAAAATTAAGTGAAAATAAGTACAAACTAGACATGGAACATAACTTGTGATGCTTTGGTTTCTCATCGTTTCAGTTTAAAAAATTGATCAGTCTGACTGCAGATTTTTTATTCTTTTTTTTTTTTTTTAAATTGTGAAAATGTAGAAGAATACACAAGGACTCATTAGACACTATAATAATGACACTAAAATATAATTTCATTCAGCGGCCAATTGCCGCACATCATCTGCAGTCGGGTGTCACAAAGTGGAAAAAAAGGTTTAAAAGCTTCTTATTCATAGGAACCTGCGTAGGTAGCTGGATTGTCAACTGTTTCCATAGCAACCACTATTCACAGACTGTAGGTTTCCATGTCTGCCTGTGAAGCCGTGAAGAAATCTCTTCCCCCCTTCCACTCACTCCCCACACACACACACACACACGCGCGCAAACAGACGCAAGCCTCACACACCGGTCGTAAAACATATCTTATACTGGTTGGACGGGAACTCGGTTTGTGACACTGTTATTACAGCGCCTGGTGTCCATTAAAAACTGTCTGATTAATCTTCCACGGCTCTCAGGTTCAATGCGGCGTACTGGCACGTCCTCTGTAGACACTTGTTGGGACACTAGGTGGCCTCTGTGTGATGGGGGATAAGCGCGGCAGCACAGTAAGAATCCTCAGAGCTGACCCGAGTTCCCTGCTGACACCTCAGGCTTTTGTGCTGGTTGAAGTCTGGGACACGGGGTCATGAGGTCACTCACAAAGAGACGGCAAACATTCTCTACTGGCTACCCTGTACACACCCTCTTGTAAAACGACACTCAAGAGATCTCCCTCTACGCCCCGTAAAACCCCTCTGCTGTAGTCGAGTGTGCTGTTGTCGATGATAAATGCGCGCAGGTTTTCAAGGCGGTTTTTCCACCAATCAGGTTTGTATTACTGAATCTGAGTGATTGTGAGAAATACCCCACTTAGCTCTCACCGCTACATCTGTGTCTGGGTGCTCAAAAAGATTCATTCACGTTCTATTTTCTTCCTTCAGTGGCCCGGTGTTTAGTGGAATCATGATGGCAGCTTTTTTTGTGTGGTTGCAGCCACACCATATCATTGAGGTTTGGAGCAAAAATGCTAGTAGCACACCAAAGAGCTCCGATAGATGCCAGAAAGGGCCACAAATATTTGGCTTGGGAATTGTGAAAGTGACTTCACAACAAAGACTGACTTCAAAGATATGAAAGAAAAGTTTAGAGAAAAAAAACAACAATTTTTAATTATAGTTCTTTTACAAACAAACTGAGCTTCTTTCTAATGAGCTTAAATGAAAGGAAATGCTAATAAGCTACTTGCTAATATGAGTTTTGCACTTTTCAGACAAATGTTTGTCATGTTCACTTGAACCTTTGAAGATATTGACAAAGGCATCAGATCATGTTAGGTATTAAAAACTGTACATATGTTTTTCTTTGGCAGTTCACTGTTTAGGGGAACAATACTAGCTGTTTTTGTGTGTGTGTGTGTGTGTGTGTGTGTGTGTGGTGTGTGTGTGTGTGTGTGTGTGTGTGTGTGTGTGTGTGTGTGTGTGTGTGTGTGTGTGTGTCATTGTTATTTGGACCAAATAGCAATGATACAAACACCAAAATGGTCTATGGACTGTTGTGCAAACCCCCCTAAAATTTAGCTTATAAACTGTGAAAGTAGATTGAAGACTACAAATGCTTTTAAAAAGGCTTGCAAAAGCTACTTCAAGCCATTTATAAAGATATTTTTAGTCAATTGCAAGCTAAATGCCACTATGAACTGCATGCTAATATGCTAATATAAGCTACATATAAATATAAGCTCCCCATCAATGTAGCTAATTTAAAGCTACACAGTAATATCAGCTGCATGCTAATATGGTAAAATAAGCTAAATGCTACTATGAGATTCATGCTAGTTTAGTTCACTGTGGTCACTGGAATCTTTTTCTGGTGTTTGTTTTTATTTTGACTTTTTTAAATTCCTATTTTAATTATTATTTTACCAGGAATTTTTTTTTCAAGGGCAGATAAACTATGACTTTATAAAACAAACGAACTTTGACAAAAAAAAAATTAGATCTTCTTTTATTAACCCTTGTAGAAAAGCTGAAGGTTTTGAATAAAATAAATAAATAAAATCTATTACCAGCCAGGAATTTAATATTTTATTCAGGTTTACTTTTCAAATTGTTTCTTCTCTTTTGTTTAAGTTGGACAGCCAAGCTGTAAATTTTCAAAGGTCATGGGTGAAGAATGTAATGGTGTGTAATTATTTAAAATCAATTAGCCTATCTATAGTATTGATATGATTTCTTAGCATAGATTCCACTTGCATTTAGTTTCACTATCACGGCGTATAGATTCTTAGATTTGGATTTAAAGAGGTGAAAGTACAGCATGTTGTGTTGTTTTCAACTAAAAATGTTCTGTTTTTTTTCTGCATGCTGCTGTATCAACCTGCCCGATTTACTGCGGGTTGCACCTCTGTTCACTTGCGTCCCCCTCATCCATTCAGCCTTTTGCATAGAGGCACTTCAAACGATTCACCTACATTTGACCTCTCAATCTGTGCTTAATTAGCACATTTTTATATTTAGCCAATTCTGAGAGGGGAAAAACAAACTCCTTACAACCTATTTTAGTCACAAATAGTTGAATCACAACAAACCTCAAGAGTGTTTTTGGCAATCAAACTGCAGGCCATTAAACAATAAAATCTAAGTGAGGAAAATGCTGTCTACTCCCATAAAAGAAGAAACACAACTGCTTAATAAATTGTCCTTCTCACATTTCGTTTAACAAGCTTTGAAATGCGAGTTAACGAAACTAATCTTGGATCCTGACGAAGAAAGAAGAAAATTGCAGAAACAAAAGGAGAGCAAACTAAAGAGGCGCAGATTGCTGCACAACAAGGTGTTTCGCTGCATGCCTCAGTCAGGCACGTGACGCGGCAGATGTGTTTCTAATTACAGAAAAGTGATCATCTTGATTGCAGCCCACTGCGTTGGTGCAGAAAACCGCATGCCGTCGGTGGATTTCTGTTACATAAGATCTGGACTAAGAATCTGCTGCAAATCCAAACAGAAAAAAAAAAAGCCCCTAAATGCGTAATAACAGGAATCGGTCATAAGTGGTCGTTAACATTTCCTTACATGACGTATATTCCATGCCTTGGTGGCTTGGTGCAGTTATGTAACAGCTAACCAGCCTTGTCTCATTTGACTGGCACAAGCTTGTCCACATAGCATCTGTCAGAGGGGAAGAGACCCTCGACACAAGCAGTCAGGCCTTTTTTCCTGTTGTTCGTCCTCAGTGGGCAAGAGCCTGCAATTTTAGCTCCGAGCGGACGAGTCTGAGGAGGATTTCCATCAAAGTGTGGCCTCCTGAGACCAGCTGCCATCTCTGCGCTGTCACTCCCTTCACAAATCTGAAGAGCTACGGCAGGGGGCCGGCTTACTCACCAGAGACACGACGCTTCAGGACTCCATAATCCTGCTTTGCAGATGTGTCGTGCGCTGCATTAAAGTAACTAACTCGGCCCTTAACGCCACATATCCATTTCTGCAGAAATTCTATCTGGGGCGAACATCAGGCCTACCTAGCTGGGCCATCCACACATTTATGGACAATGAAACGGCACGGCCTTATCTTCCACTAGGCTGTAATTGATACAACTCCGACAGATGACCCTTCATTAGTTGATTGGCTGGCAGCCAGTGAGATAGAGAGAGAGTGGGACAGCGAGGGAAGGCTGCAGACTTAAAGAATGTCTTCAAAGGCAAAGCTGCTGTCTGACTTAACGAGCGTGTCATTTCATCTCCCTTGCCTTAACATGGAGCATATCCAGATCACAACAGACTAATTAGCCCATCACTGTCTGGGGGAAGACGTCTGACAGAGCGACGGAGAGAGGGGGCTTCCTGGCTGCCGCTGACCGGCGGTTTCCATGAGAGTGGGAGCTACGCCGTACCTCTTTGCTGATGAACGAGCTCAACAGGGTCACAGTAGACCAGAAGAAAATGCCACAGCTCAGGATGACCTTTCTGTTGAAGCGGTCGCCCAGGTAACCGAAGATGGGAGCAGCCACCATGAAGCTGCAGATGAAGACTGTGGAGGGAAAGGAAGGAAATGTTACTTTGCTGTTAGGTTTGTTGGTCTGCACGACGACAAACCCAACAGGCTTTTAAAAAGAACGTGACTGAACGATTACTGCTCTGAGTGTGTTGTTCTTTCAGTAAATGCCCTTTTTAAAGTCTGAATCGATCAATCGATTACCAAATTAGTTAACGATTATTTAAATAACTGATTCATCGTAATTATGTAATCTAATAGTTCCTAATGTTTATTTTATTCTATAAAGAGCAAAACCACAAAAAAAAAAAAAAGATTCTGTGCAAGTGGCACGTTAAAACAACTTCTAAATTTGGGTTTGCATTTTAATTTTTTGATTAAATTCATGTACCAAAACATTTTAAAAAAATTAAATGTAGTAGATAACATAAATATACCTGCCATAATATTTTATAGCATTGCAGCAGCAGTCAAAATAAATGCTGGTTTCCTGTTTGAAGTAAGCGATTAGATGACGTCAAGGCTTTTTGGTTGACATTTAGGTGAAAACTATGATGCTACTTTTATCATACCGAAAGAATCTCAAACCAGCTTATGCCTGTGCAGGCATTTCGTTACTTTGTTGCTTCATTGCACTTTGTTGTGAAAGTCCCCTCCCAAAAAAAATCCCAGCTGAGCTGAGCAAACTGTTTTCAGCTCCCTGGTCGACTTATGAAGTCAGGACGGGTCCAGTTCAGATCAGCTGTGAGACAGCACCGTGCCAGAGACACAGACAAGGACTGCCAGAGGACGCCTCTAACAGGGATCACATTATACTTCACCTACACTTATTACAAGTACCTTAGCATGAGAGCATTAAACACAGAGCGCTGATAAGCTCATTTGTGGATGATTAGATTCATGAAGACAAACGGCGGCGGAGATAAAAATGAAGCGTTCCAGAGCCGCAGCCTCCTGCAGTAGCCCTTTAAGGAGTCGCGGGGTGACAAAAGTGACAGAATCAGGCTGCGACTGTAACCATCAAACTAAATAAAGAGAGCTGTGGACGGGCTTAGAGGGGGATCTGGGTACATGTCAGGGTTTAATGTAAAACAGCTGGAATTATAATTACGCAAGCCAGATCTGAAGCCGTTTAAAGCAACACATCACACAGCGGCGCTGCAGATGAAGAGGACCTCTGTGAGCTGCTCCTCCATAAATAATTCCTGTCTTAATTTCCTACAAACGAACTTATGTTTCAGCTAAATGAGCACAAGCGCTCCTCTAATTGCCCAACCTGGCCATACTTGTGGAGGCTTTTAGGCAACATATATGAAGACCCAAACAGATGTAAGGAGTTTCAAAACGGAGTTCAGGGATTTGTTTTGTGTATGCAGAGCAAAAAAAAAAAAAGAAAAAAAAAAGGGGGCAGAAATGTTGCCCTCGACAGCGCTGGGGTAAACTGAGGAAATGTTGTGTCATATCATCAGACTAAACATACAGAGGAGGAACACAGAGGGACAGATGAGAGAGCAGAATGATGATGATGATGATGATGATGATGATGAAGAGGAAGAGGGGGGTCTCGTTACATAAGATGGAGGCATCGCAGGATAAGAGACAATAATCAGATTATAGAAGCCGTCGTTTTCAACATTTGATATTCTGGTGTAATAAAAGAAAGAAGAGAAAGCATATCCATTTAAAAATCAATTTTTAGGAAAACAGTTACTTAATAAAATAAAATCTTTTTATATAACGTCGCGGCAGGTATTTAGATTAGTCACTGAACACTGATGCTGGTGGTATTCATGCAGTATTTGTTACTTAAATATGAAGAACTATAATGAGCTCTCTGTGTGTTTAGGAATAAGATCAGTTGAAATGCTTTGTACTTTTTATATTATTTGCCTGTTTTTTTTTTAAATCTACAACATATATTTTCACTTTTTGATTTTTCTGACGTGTCAAAGTGTTTGCCACTAAACTTGATTTGATCTACAAAACATAAAAACGACACCATGGTCCAATTTTGATCTGATTTATTGGAAGACAGTAACATTATACGGATCAACCCTTTTAACTACACTGCTGTTCTTTTAATGATTGCCCTTTGTTTAATTAAAACAAACTGAAATATAATTTGGTTTACTATTATTTTATATTTCATTGATTAAACGGTTATGTTTGCTTTCAAAGGATCGTTGGGTGACACGTATTGAGCAGCTCTTGGATGTGACGTTTGGCTTTGTGTCCTCACCCAAACCTTTTCTCAGCGTCCATCGTCAACATTCATTAAAGCGCGCCAAGTTCACTGCTGCTGAGTGACGGACAGTTTTCTTTGTATCAACCCAGCCTGAAGCCATATCACTGCAGGAGATATCCTAGCACACACACACACACGCGTTTAATGGTGGATTCTGCAGTCAAGATAAGACATGGGAGAGGTCACCAATCACCCACCTCCAGCTGGTCCACGTCGGTTTTAATGAGCTAGCCAATGTCATTGTTTAGCTGCTCGGAACAATATCAGATTTTTTGTGTTTTTCCTGCTGGAAGTCAGTAGGAGGCACAAATGTCACCACCCACGAGTGTTTGTATGACAGAGTGTTTGTGTGTGTGTATATGTGTGCATGGTATTTCCTGTATATCTTTGTTGATTAGCTTTTCATTCTCTAGAGCCACATTATCACCTCATAACAATGTCATCACAAGCAAATGAAGTCAGGCTGGGACAGTCTAATCACGTTCATCTTTCCGTAAACGGTATTATTTTCTAATTACTGTAAACAGACTAAAGGGAAACAGATAAGGCCGCATCAGAGTAAGAAAGTGTCAAACCCAAGGCAAAACAAACATGGTATGTAATAATATCATAATATGTATAAAAAACACTTTTAGGCCAAGTTATCACAACACCACTGAGTGGAAACACTGCCAGTGTTTTCAATGTTGATTGGGGAAATGCTCCACGTTTAGAAAGAATCTGGTGTAGTTGTTATGCCAAGCCACTGTGTGGCGCTATGACCTAATCATGTCGTTGAAACACGGATGCGCTTTTGACTTTTAGCTTACACACGGGCACAAAAAGTGGCCACGTCAAAGACTCTGTTGACCGGAGACGTAAAAACGAGCGACGCAATAAAAATGTTACAGTGTCACTAAAGAGAGGAGTCTTAGTTGTACGTAGATCCACAGCTAAGGCCTGTATTTAAATTCATGTGACAGTAAAGAAATCTCTCTTTTGATTAGCCACCATCACCTGTCAGGAGAGCCAAAAGGTTTTTGTTTAGATGCCTAAATTGAAAAGAGACAGACACACCCTTCTGAAGAACGAGTGTTTCTTCCCACATGGAGTCAAACCAAAGATTAACTAGTGAAATTAGATCTCATTCCAGAGCCTGACAGTGAAGCATGTGCCCTGCATAAACATGGGAGCATGATGGTGTGAAATTTGCATTTGAAAAAAATAAGTGACAGAAAGGTTTTTTTTGTTTGTCTTCTGAAGTCAGCAGCAGTTGAGGGTTCTTCCTACATGACGCTGCCTCAGAGACATAACACACGTTTACCCTGTAACCACTCACACAGACCAGGAAATGTCCTGTCATAATAAAGACTCTGCAGGAAGTAGCCCCGCTCATCTCCTGCCAATCTGCAGTGACACTAAATGGGTGATCCTCTAAAACTACTTAAATATCTCAACTTCTAAAAAGATAGCGAAGAATTTTTGAAGTGATTTCGAAATTGTGACATCCTCTCTGAACTTCTTCAATTTCATGTTGTGGTCTTTCGCTTTAGCCTCCAGAACCAGCAAATATAGACATGAACTCAATGAATAATGTGCATAACACATTGAAAATGGCTGTCAGTGACTTCTTTTTGCATATTTATTGTTGAATTCCTTTAGATGGAGGCGGGCTGCATCGATATTTGAGGTGTTTCGCCTACTTCATGCTGTCAGACTGGTTTACAGGTCATGTAGTCGTCAGACCAAGGTGTGGCTAGTAAAACTGAACTCACCTTTAGAAGACAAATTGAGTTAATCAGAGATAATTACGGATTTAACAACGAGGGACATCACTTTTTCACGTTGCTATTTCATTAAAAGAAAAAAATATTCTATTATAACCACACTTTGCATTTACTTGTGTTATCATTCTAGTATTAATATTACTTAGACCTTAGCTTGAGAATCTCATTTAGATGTAACAAAAAAGCAAAACACTTTTTTTATCCAGTTAGAAAATGTATTGCTTACCTTTAACAAAGCTAATTAAACATGTTAAACAAACTAGGATTTCTAAATTCTCCTCACAACTCTGTCCTCAAAATGTTTCAGCTTTAGAAGAGGCCGGCCAGCATGTTTAAAGGCAGCCTCGCACGTTTTAAATGATACATTCTTGAGGGTCATCTGGTTGCCGTTCCTTCATATTTTCAGCAGCAGAGAACAACAAAAACTGTGATCGTCACAGCGGGAGAGATTCACGTCTTATTCTGACAGAAAGAATGTCACAAATGCGGAGAAGGATGAGACGATACCTGGAAGACAGTAAGTCAGGGGAAAAAAAAAAAAACTGCACTTTTTTCATAAGTAAACGATTAGACCATCTGGTTTGTGTCGAGTGGTTAATTTTGATTATCACAGCATGTAATATTACAACCATCAAACAAAGAGGACGTTATTGTTTCCTGCTGTGCACGTAAATAAACAGTGGGGTGCTCGTGTCTCGACGCGCTGGCACAAAATACAAAACAGTGTATTTTTTTGTATTTTGTAAACTGAATACAGTTTCATCCTCACTGAAACTGTATTCCAGTTTCAGTGAGGATGCGTCGCTGGCATGATGATGGAGACCAGTGACCTCACGTACCTCTCGGCAAACTGACTCAACCGCACAGTGCAACTCAAACAAGCCCTACAGTATCAGCTCACATCCTGCCATTATCATTAGGCTTATGTAACCAACATCGGCCTCGCTATTAGCCTGACAAAAACGCATTCCTCGCCTTTTAAAAGCCATTGTTTACAGGTCGTGACCAATTGGAAATTCCTCAAC